TCCTCTGGCAGCCCAGACCCCCCAGGGATAAACCGCCTGCGTGCGTAGGCACCGCTCAGAGCCAACTGCCCGCAGCGTGGCTGCTCTGGAGTACAGGGGGGAGGGGTCGGCCTTGGAAATGCTGCATTTTAACTTACCCAGGCATTGTTTTGGGGTTTTTAAATTTATTTTATTCTATTTTTCTGCGACATGGGAAATGGAGCGCTGCGTGGCCCTTAAAACCCGCCACGACATTGCCTCTAGTGATGCCATGATGAAGTTACAATCCAATCCACTGAGGGAAAAGGCATTACTCCTGGATTTGATTGCCATTTATTATTCACTAGGTACAGAGAATCGCTCATGCTCGAATACCAGGGAATCGCACATGAGGGGAACAGCGAATGCACAGACCGAATGGAGAAGGACATAATCCTGAGCTATAGCTTGGCATTAACGTGAATAGCAACGAAGGGATCCTCAGCACTGTTACTGATCTGGAACTGAGCCATTCCATCCCCAGAAACATACACCTGCTTTCCAGTGCATTTGTTGCCCTCCTTCTGTCCAGAAATAACATCACAGTAGGTACCCGCAGGCAGGCCAGTTTGCAAATAGACATTCATGTTCCTGTGTGGAAACAAGTGGATGCTGTTGGTTTCTGAACAGATATTTCAAACCGGGTATAAGATTTTTGAACCCGATGCTACTCCCTTATTTGCAGGGCAATGTAAAGTGGGAGCTTTCTGATCCTACTCCGGCTTTCCTCCCTACGCTCCCGTTTTGGCACTCTAGATCTGGCATGCAACTGCGTGACTCTAGCTCTGGCTGCACTGGTCGCTCTCATCCGGAGAAGAGGACATTCCCATTCCCATCAGGACTACTGACGAGGGGTGCTATGCTTCTCCCTAGGGACACGGTCTCTCCCACTGACTTACCAGTCATCATTATTAAAAACAATGAAGCCTTTATCACCACGGCCAAAAGCTACTTGATTGCTCCCGTTGTCCCACCAGTTGGAGAAAGGCTGACCGTCCACCACGTTACGGAAGATAACCATGTTCCTGGAAATGCAAGGAACAGCTGTCACCGTGGCAGCAAGAGCTCTAAAGCCACGAGGAACATGAAGCAAAAGCCACTGCTTTTACTTAGGTTTTCTCCACAGCGTCCTACTTTATTTGACGCCAGCGATGCTCACAAACCCAGTCGTTGCCACAGGTAGTGTCGGCGTTGATTGTAACAGGCTTTACTGATCCATCCGAGTGACTTGGTGGTCCAATCCAGTCGTTGACGTCCTGTAATGAAAAAAGAGAGACGTTTACAACTTCCCACTGAAAACACAGAGGGCCTCTCTGCGGAGAAAAGCTAGGATGGAGCATCAGATTTCCACCTGCTAGATCCAACAGGGGACAGAGAAATCACTTAACAAATTCAAATGCACTGGACCGCTTCTCCAGCCCTGTTCCCATCCTCATTCACCGCAATTTTAGCTTCTTTACCTCGTTACAGGCTTACCCGTCCATTTACAAAATATCTTGGCCAGCGAAAACTTGACATCACACGCGTGAAGCCGTACGGATGAGCAAGCATGAAACCAACCGCCATTTTATAAAGCCTGTTCGTTAGACAAAAGAAGTAATGAGACGAGGAAAGAGAAGCCGTGCCAGGGAGCTGATAGGCAAACAAGCAAGAGGAAGGAGCGTCACCCAGACAAGAGCGATCCCTCACCTGGGGTCCCAGAAGGTCAGAATGGAAGCTCCACCGGCCCCGTGCCCCCGCTGGTTGTCGTGATTATCCACAAAGACCAGGGCTCTGTCGGAAGGCACAAAGCCCCAGCCTTCTCCCCAGTTCCTAGCCAAAAACACAAAGCCTTGAAGCCACCCTGCCACCCGGCGCCCCCGGCATACCCCCAGTCACTCACAGGGTCTTCCTCCTCACTTCAAGTAGGCCATCTTTTCTCCGTTCCACTTGCGGATCACTGTCCCCAGTTTTGCACCGTATCTGAACTCTGTCACTCGGCCGTTCCCAAAGTAGTCGCTGCTTTTGATCGGCTCCCCCCCCAGGTCGATTACCTGGTACAGAAAGCAGAAACTGTGCATCCGTTCTCATCTCATAGAGACAAAAATGCAGCAGAGTCCTCAACATGGGTTCTTCATTTACATTGAGGGACAAAACCTTAAAGTACAGTCATTCATGCTGTGTAGATCAACCCAAAGTCAGTACAAGGCGTGATCGATACATGTAAACCCATGATTGAAGAAAGAAAAGGTAAACTTGAATGGCAATCTGTTGTGGAGGCATTTCTGAAAAACAAAACAGCTCATGCCGGCAGGGCTGCTCCAAAGCAATGGCTCGCTTGCTCTGGGGTGAAGTTGGATGAAGGTGTGTGAACACCATTCCTCTGAAGGAAGAAGGTAGAAGAGATACCAAAGACAAACATAAAGGAAAAAACATAGAGGTTACCTCCTGGTAAATGAAAGGTTTTGTTCCTGCAGAAAACCATTTCGTATTCAGATCCTTCAGCTTGTCCAGAAATGCTCTTATGTCCCCAGGCCACATATGCTTGGCAGCGTCAATCCGGAAGCCTGCTACACCAATATCAATGAGGTGGTTCATGTACTCGGCAACTTTTGAGCGCACGTAGTCCTTCTCCAGGGCCAGATCAAGGAGGCTAACCAAGCGGCAGTCTCGGACCTGAGTACGTAAAAAAACAAAAAAGTTTTGATGTGCCACTCTGTCGGCCTGTAAAACCTTTCCGTGAAACGTTTGCATGTTTGGAGCCATAAAATCAGTTCTGTTTGGGTATCTAATTTGCATACAAGCAAATTATGCCAAGGTCTACACCAAGCCATGAGTAAATTTATGATAGAGCTCGATACTTGGGTTGGGACAGTTGGTGACGGGCATCACCTCCCTCTGCAGGTGCCGTCAGAATTAGGAGGAGCAGCGGCATGGCGTACTCTGCCAAGGGGCCGAAGGAAGAGCGTTTTTTTCTGTGGCACAGCCCAGCTACAAAAAAAAGAGTAAGTTGCTCAAGCAGGGCACCGCCATGCACTGCTATTGATTTTCCAGGGGGGGTCCTCATCAAGATCAGCAGAGCTTATGAGCTGTAAGAAGGAGCTCACCGGCTGAGCTGGGAGCACTGGGCGCAGTTCTGGAGGCAACTCCTGCACATGCCCACCTGAACCACGTGGGGAGGGCTCCTGATGTCTCAGTACTCGGAATACTGTGCCCCACAAGTGCCGTTCCTGTACCTATGGTCCCTACCTCATTCACCTGACAGGTGACCAAGCACAGGTTCTGTGAGGAACTACTCCCCTCATTTGGCCTTACCGTAATGTTCACACAACAGGTTAAAAAGGAAAAGGAAAAAGATTTCACACTTTTGCCAGAGAAGGTTACCTGATACATATCGCCGTAATTTTCAATTTCTCCGCTTCCGGTTCGACACTTGCCGTCATTGAAATCCCAGCCAGAGTACGGCACAGCTGGAAAATCTCTGTTCCCAGCGTTAAAATAGCTCCCACAGGTGGAATGGGTGCCTGCGCCACCCGCAGCCCCACACATGTGGTTGACAACAGCGTCCACATAAATATGAACCTGGAAAAGCAAGAAGTGCATTTCAGCGTGCCTTGTGATGACGGGGAGGTGACAGCTGGAGCTTTGCCATATCCCTATTAATTCCATCTCTTTTCCCCCTTCGGTTTATTCTGAGCCTACGCCTCCTCTGAGGGCAGCAGCAGTAACGTCCCTCGGCCGAGGCAGCCCTTCTTGCCGTGATGGGCACCGATCTTCGAGGCACTTACTCCAACATTGTTGCACCTGGTCACCATGTCTCTGAATTCATTTTCATTTCCGGATCGAGTGCACAACCTGTAGCTGACGGGCTGGTATCGCTCCCACCAGGGTCTGTCTGGGTTAGTAATGACAATATTTTCACTTGGAGGTGAAACCTGCAGATGAAATGATGTCCTTTGATAAGAAATCAACTGGGTTTATTTCAACTTTTTAAGGGCAAAACCTGCACTCAGCCCCTCTGCCCACAGGGCCAGGCTAGCGCCCAGCCCAGCCCCTCTCTCCCACAGCACACGCTTCGGGCTGTGGGATCTCCGTCTTGTAGACTGGCAAGCAAGAAATTTTCTTCTGTTCTTGGTGGCTACTCAGGGCCTGCTTTCAAGGACACGTGCACAGCAAGGATGAAGCCACAGGAATTATTTTTGCCTGGAATAGTAACATCCTTAGGAAAGCCAACACGCCATGCTTACGCACGCCCCTCAGAACAAGGTAAAGAGGAAAACTTGGCTTTGCAGGGGAAGCATTTCAGAGGAAAGCTACTGGAGATACAACCACATTCACTGGCCCTGCGGGATCTAGGGCTGCGTGTCACAGCCCCCCCTTCCCAACACCAAAGTTACTTGGAGCTGGCTGCCTCCGCTTCAGGCGTTTTGATTTATTAATGGAACGCTGCAATACCATGTTCCTCCCTACTCACAGGGAAGAACTTACCTGAACTCCTCCAAACCCATTAGGAGCTAAATAGCGCTCGCACTCAAGAGCGATGTCGGCCCAGCGCCATTCGAAGAGATGCACGATAGACGTCCGTCCAGCCCGAGTGTTGGGGTTGTACTGGGCCCAGCAAAGCCCTACAGTGGCAAGGAGGAGGAGGACTTGCATGGTGCCTTCGGTATAAGGCTGTGGGCTCTCCGCTGGCAATTTATACTCCTGCAGGATGACAAAGTTCCTGTGGCAGCTGTCAAAATTCACACGGGTCAATGCTATCGCTTATTGTTTGGCTCACTAGTTCGATATCATTCTTCTGGTTTGGTTTTTTCCTGGATTGCCCGTCAACTGAAGATAAAAGACCTTTCCACAATGATTACACATCATCACAAACCAAGAGGTCTGCAAGCAGTGCACCTAAATTCAGCACTGTACTCTTTCCAGTCATGTAAACAAAGATACTTTATCAAAAGTATTCTAAAACACAACACACAGGCCCTCAAAGGGGGCTCTGGAAGGTAAAGGGCAAGGGAGGCGATTAAAAGCCAGCTGGAAATCTAGCAGCTCTAGGAGAATGGATGTGTCTGCCAGCATTCAGCGGCGCCCAGCCCTCAGGATTAGTCCAAGCTCAACCCAAGGCACCTGGTCAGCCACCCTCAGTCAACAGCAGACGTACCACACAACGCGCCGCGGGTTTTCACCGGGTGAATCCCTCTGGCACCTAGAAACCGACCCCTCTTCATGCCTGATGTTTTTCTACCGTCGTTGCCCAGTTCCCGCTGGGGACCTGTTACTGGTTTTCTTCGCACAGTTGTGCAGGGCAACTGCTGCTCTACCAGGCTGAAAGGGATCAGAGCTGCAAGTGTTTTCCTCGCCAGCAGAGACACTGCATGAGGTTTCGTCTCACTTTAAACAACCAATGATTCATCTGAGTCAAGGAAGCAAACCCAAATCAGATGTAAAGTGACGCTGCAGATGAGTTTTAGCTGCCTGACATAAAACTGAATTTGAAAGCCAGAGCTGTTGCCCAAGTCCTACCGGGCTTATCCTAAAATTTCTTCCTTCAAAAGAAAACCCTGACGACATATGCTCATGTCTTCATTTGGAACTGACTTAGAAGATGAAGGTCTCAGCAACAACATTCCATGAATAAGCTTGAGTTGTGCCAATGCTAAAACAATGCTCTGAGGGAATACGAAGAGCAGAAAATCCCTGATATTTGATGAATATCTGTGAGAAAAAACAAAAAGTTCACAGAATGGCACCTCCGCTCCAAGAGAAAAGAAACCTCAGTGCACTTTGGACCTGAACTGCCTCTAGGATGTTCCTTCTGAAACAGGCTGTGCCACTGAGTGTGTCACACGCATGCCTCTTTCCCAGAATTTGGCTTCAAGGACGAAATGCTGAAGCAGGTCCCGTTTGCCCACCTGTTCATTTTCATATCACAGACCTTATCAAAGGTCTCTTTTTCCAATACAACAAAGAAATAGTAAATTACTGCCAATGACCTTGCCTACTCACTAACAGCGAGGAACCTGAGGAGACTGCACCTTGTGATTACCAACGCAGTGAGCACGGACGGACACACACACACACACATGCACCTTGTGATTACCAACGCAGTGAGCACGGATGGACACACACACACACCCCCCCACCCCCAATCCTCAATATTACCAAGAGCAAACAAACAAGCCTGAGGTTAATTTTTACATCACCATTCCTGGTAAGATTCCGTTGAGGTGATGACATGTCACTGCATGACATTCAGCTTCCAATGCCACGTGTTTTCCGCTGAAATACACTGCTATCGGCCAAGGGGAGTAAGGTCCCATCCTTGACAGCCCGATGCAATGGATGGCCAAGCCACTGGCAAGGAGCCCTCACATCACAGGTTCTTCAGCAGCTCAAGCCGCCCAGGCTTCAGTATTTTAGCACACTGAGGAAGTGCATGAGGGCAGGAGAGAAGGTGGACATCCAGCACTAATGATTTATGAGTTTTTCTGAAGTATGGCCCCAGGGAGAAAGTATTTAATGTACAGTTTCAAACATAGCATCTCTTTTGGTATGGAAGAACCATCAGGTGCCTAACAACCTGGCTTTGTTTTTCAGGGGAGTTTTGGGGAAGTTGAAGCTTTGGGCAGACGAGGCATTGGAGGGGTTTGGCTTTGTTTTGAAACCCTGTGTTTTAATCTGTACGATCCCCCAGTATCATTGGAAACCTGGTTGTGAAGAACTGGAAGATGTGGGTTCTAGACATTGAAACAAAACCCTCTTATTTGCAAGCTTTTACACTGCAAACCTAAACATGCAGGCCTGCTCTTACACATCCCTCAGTGGTCACAGGACAGCTCCGTCAGTCGAATACACAATGGATACCGTGCTGCACCGGTGGCGTTTTCCCCGCACGCTGCTGTGGTGTCAATGCCTACACAAGGCCTACCAGCATGCGACTGATCCGCAAACCCCTCCAAAGGGAGGAGGAGGATGTCGTGGTTTAGCCCGGCTGGCAGCTCAGCACCACGCAGCCGCTCGCTCACTCCCCCCTCCCTCAGTGGGATGGGGAGAGAATCGGGAAGAAAATAAAAGGTTAGAGCCGAGGGCTGAGATAAAGACAGTTTAATAAGAGAAAATAATAATAATAGTAATAATCAGAATGATAACAGAATATACAGAATATACAAAACGAATGATGCACCACCCAATTGCTCACCACCCGAAGTCCTTGAGTAGTCTGAGCACTACTTGGCAACAGCTGAAAACATCCGTGTGTTATCAACATTCTTCTAGTACTAAATCCAAAACACAGCACTATGCCAGCTACTATGTAGAAAATTAACTCTATCCCAGCCAAAACCAGGACAGAGGAGGAGGAGGAGGAAGTCTCAGAGGAGACCAGCAAGAGTGACTTGCCCGTGAAGCTCAGGGACTAAGGCAGGCTGTACTGTCCACAGGTGCCGCAAGGAACACTGCCCCTGTCTCAGCACAAAGAGGGCTGGAGGACGCCCTTCGTTCAAGATGAACAGCTACATCAGTTGAGCCAATCTGTTGGTGTAACTGGTCATCCCCGAGTTAATTAAACGTCTGTGAACGTCTCCCTGGCTTAGCCAGCCCAGCATGGGGAGGAGCTAGTGTACACATGGCTCAGCACAACAGAGATTATCGAAACTAAACAACTAACCAAGTATTTTCAAAGATGGCAATGGGCTTTAGCTGGTTTCAACCCACGCATTGGTGAGTGCACTATAGACACCAGCAGTGGAGATCACGTTGATATTGTGAGTGAACCGTACATTGCAATCGCTATATTTTGCTAAGTGCAATTTATATTTGTATTGTGATTTTAGTGTATTTTGTATCACTGCTAAGTCAGAAGAAGTATCTGGCATCAATTAACTTCAAATAAGTAAATTTTATATTAAATATTACATCCACCACACATGGAATATCTAAATGAAGCTGGTCAGAGAGTATTGGACTCTGGCACAGTCAGGCCAATCTCAACGCGATCGTCTCCCTCGCTGCTGTTAACTTGACCAAATGAATAATCAACATTGTTGTACTCGGTCGTAACAATGGCTTGAAGGGCATGAAAAGGCAGTGAGGTGGGCTTGGGTATTAAACGCAGCATTCAACCATTCCCAGACAGGTTATGGAAAGCCTAAGGGAGATGACAGGCCTAAAGATGCTCGCATAGAGGTATTAGACTCTAATTAACACCTTAAAAAAAAAAAAAAAGAACATGTCTACATTTATTGCTACTCACCAGACAGGTGACCATCAACACGCTACAAATTTGAGATTGTGCTCTTCTCGGGAAAGTTTGCAAATGTCAGTGATATCTGCCAAAGTCCACTGCTAATCCTGGGAAGGGTGGCAACAGTGGTTTCAGAGAAGCAGAGAAAGAAAAGATCCTAGAATCCTAGAATGTTTTGGGTGGGAAGGGACCCCCAGAGGTCACCCAGCCCAACCCCCCTGCAGGAGCAGGGACACCTTGAACCACATCAGGT